TTCATTTAGGGAATGTTCACGTGTTTACAGAAAATATGTCTGACATTTTCCCAAATGTTTAAAAAATGATAAAAAAATGTTCATCTAATTTAGAAATAATGTTTTGTACAATTAAAAAATGTATGTTACTACCTCCATTCCGAATTATAAGATGTTTTGGATATTTTAATATGAACTACATACGAATTGTAATCCGTAAAACACACACACTAAAACATGATTATACACATCTGATTTGGAACATCTTATAATTCGAAACAGAGGATATAAATTTTTCATAAAATTTTCAGACATTTCAAAAAATATGTTTGTAACATTTTAAATATATACTTATACAATTCTAAAGAAATGTCAATGTAGTTTTTTCTTTGTTACCATTCATAAAAATCTTTTAACGTGTATCTGAAATATGTTTAACATGTCTCCCTCTGTAAAGAAATATAAAAGTGTTTAGATCTCTAAAGAAATATAAGTATTTTTTACTTTTGTGATCTAAACGCTTTTACATTTCTTCTGTGATTGAAACACTTTTATATTCTTTACGGAGGGAGTATTTGAAAATAATGTGCAGAAACATGTATTTGGAAAAAATATTAATCATCTATTTGAGTTTTTTTTTAAATATGTACACAAATGTTTCAGATGTGTAGGAAAACTATATAATGTGTATGAAAACATTAGACATCAAAACATATATTAAAAAAAAGTAAATATTGTATTTAAAAGATGTTATTTATAAATACTGGTGTATAAAAAATTCAAAATCTATGTGAAAAAAGTAGATATGTGTTCAAGAAAGAAAAAAATAAAAAATAACCCTGAAAAGACTGGCAGAGGAACGCAGAAAACGAAAAACGAAAAGAAAAAAATACCATTGCGAAAGCAAGCAAGAAAGAAAAAAGGCCACTTCTACGCATCATCCAGATGGTTTGAGAGAATGTTAAGCCGCCTCCAGGGCCATCAGATGCGCCCATCACACCATCGGTTCCGTGCCTAACCTGTCTCTCTGCGGCGCCTAAAAAAGGAGAAAAAAAACGGACGCCTGAGGCGTCAAATAGAATCTGCTGCCTCGGGCTCGTAGTAAGCGATATATCATCCTCTTCTAGAAAAAAAGCGATATATCACCCTCCCCATCGATCGATCAATGTGATTCCAGGGCCCATCATCAAAAAATAAAAATAAAAAACCAATGTGATTCCAGGAACTCCGTCTCTCTGCCCGCCGCATCCTCCCAGCCTGAGCGCCCCACTCTCCTCAAAGTTCAATGCAGAGCGGGTGCGCAGGCGAGCTACGCGGCGCGCGGCGGCTTCGACCGAGAGGCGCGAGGCGTCCTCGTAGCCCCCGCGGATTCCTTCGGCCGTTCGAGGTAACCGCGAGGGGAGGATACCCCCAGCATTCGCACGCACGCACGCACGCAGGCCAGGTGTTTGTTTCTATACGCCTGTGGGGGCCGAAGTGTGGCCACCGCTCCTTTGGCGTAGTTTTAGGGTGTGTACTCCGGAAATGCGACTCTTGCGAATACAGGTCGGTGTGCAACGACGCCACTGCGATGGTTTCCTATGGGCTGACTAGTGACTACCAATTTTATGCATGAGGTCACTGTGCGACTGAGCCAATTGTGTCGTGCAGAAATAATGGCTTTGTATTTCCTTACAAGTTTTTGTTTTGTTTTGAAAATAGGAGGCAGATCATTCTCTACCTTGTATATATTTCAAAACACGCCGAAGCCTGGATGGCAAAGCCAAGCGCAAAGCAAACTTGCAGCGACCACCGCATTGTTACATTTGACGGCACACATTAGGTTCATCCAGTGCTCGTTTTCTAGATTCAGAACTCAGGAAACCACATAACTGGGTCATGGTACAGTATTCATTGCAGGTCAAGCTTTTGTCTGAATGATATCTGAAAACCCTTGTTTCATCGATTTCCTAACATTTAAGTGGATCATAGCAATGTTTTTGGATTATTTATTGTATTCATGAAGTGTTCTACGTTCGTTTCAGTATCTGAGATCTTAGGCTTAGCATAGAGTTGTAACATGCTATCTGTAGAATTCCAAGTTCAATCATTCTTTTTTCTAGAATCCCCAGTTCAATCGGTAATCTGAACCTTTGGAATTTGAAACACTTAAGTCAGCAAGACAGCTATCCAAATTGATTCCCAAACAAATGAATTCATGTTCTTGAATCATGCCTGTACATTGCTTAATTCTATCATTGTTACAAACTGATGTACTAATTGGCTGGCTACAAAAGTCGGACCACATATTCTGTACGCAGATGGAACATCATAGCTTAGGGATCTGCTGGATTCTTATTCTATTTTTATCTTTTTACTTCGTCGCCTCTTCCTGACCTCTTCTCAGTCTTTTTATCATATCTTATCAAGGAACCATTCTTTAGCTCCTACGCCACACATCCATTATCAGGCCTTTTCCTGTGAGATCCCCTACTTATCAACAAGTTCACATGTTTTAGAATCCAACATCTCAGATGCCATATTTAATGATTGTTTTATTCTTATATGACATCACCATCACAAGATCCATGTTTGTTTTTAGAGAAATCACCTATTGCATTCTTTGGTGAGTGCCCGAAGATTAGGACATCTGCATATTCTCCCTCTGTTGGACTCTCAAAATTTGATCTTTGACCACAAATTTCTCATACAATACATTGCTCATAATTGCAAAATCATAATCACAGGAAAGTTATTTTTCAATACGAATTTAACGGTCTAAATTCTGTGTGGCACAACCCACATATTATTGGACTAACTGCTGGTTAAAGATCAATTCCGCATGGTAAAAACACATCCTATATTTATCAACAGAGGGTATGCTATTCAGTCTGACAAGATTATAAGATATTTCCATAAACCCTACCTTTTGCAGATCAGCATTCCTAAGGGCATAGTTTGGACCTCTATTTTGATCCGTGGTCATTCCTGTGATGCAACACCTCCATTTATGCGACTGGAATTTGGTGCGCTTGAGCATAAACTTTGACTCTTTGTTTCTCCGCCCATCACATATCATGGCAGGCTGACAGGTGTAGTGAGTCGTAATTCTGTCGGTCAACATAAATTCCATTTAGATATAGATATAGATTCGAAGAATGTTATGATTCTCTCCACCTTTCATAGAAAGGGAAAATAATTGAAGCAAATACCTTCCTTTGAAGACTGAAAAGAGGGTATCGAGGTAAGGGTGTCACATAATAAAGGTTCAAATTGACATTTGGGTCTAATTTTGTTTAATACCAAATTTAAATTCGTCGAGAAGAGATAGTAAAGAGGTGTATCCCACTTGGATGTGAATCCTAGCTCCTAGCCTGGTGGGGGCCTTTTCCATCATCTCGAATCCACCTGTCCACACCTTGGGATGATGAGAACTCGAACCAAATCACATGAAAGATCCGCATACACACAAAAACCTTTAGCATTTGCTGACGTGACTTATGCATAGGCGCAGTGGTGTTCCGTACCTTCATGGCATAATCTACTTTTGAACCAGATGACCTTTTCCTTCCTCATAAATCTCTCTTGTTAAAAGCTTCCAATGTCTGCCTTTGGAGGCTTGCGGCATCTTTCTAAATGTAAATAGCCAGCAGAGAACATAAGAAGGCAAGAGAAAATTAATGCTTCTTCCAATGAATAATATTATAAGTAGTTAGTAGTTATCATTTTATTCTTACTATCTCTGTATATTATCTGCTTAGGTTCAGTAGTAAGTGCTGGTTGACGGGCTATGTTCTGACACCTGTATGCCCAAGATTTGTGTCGAGTAAAGATTAGATGAAGCAACTTGGGACAAGCTTAAAAAAGCCAGAAGCACCTTTTGAACTTCGCTTTTCTGATACAAGTTTTGGAACAATGCAGGTCTGAGAATGTTATTCTAAATGTAATGAAGCTCAAGACGGCAAGGTAACTTAACTGCATCTTTCTACAAAACGGCAACCAAATGTTGGTAACCTTTCACAGAATAATCAAGTTTGTGCGTAAATTTGTTAAGAACTTCAGAGGCACAAGAATGGCTCATAGCTTTTTGGAAGTGATGATATGAGATTTATTATAAAATTTGGCAAGCTGTTGCACTAGAAATATTATCAATTACTGTCATTTGCTTTTTAGTTCTTACGAACTTGGTTAGGGATATGCTCTGGTTTACGTAATTTTTCCCTTGAGTTAAAAGTCATATATATTATATACTTAGGCATAGCTCTCTTTTCTGCATGAACATTTATATTTCGACTTGTTATGAAATAAGCTGGAAATTGACTGGCACTGCTTAAATTATCCAGAAGCATTCTATTCTTCTTAATTATACATGCAGCCCTGGTGCATGGTCTTGATTGTTCTACCGGAAACAACTATTAAGATTTAGGAGCTGAGTTGTTAAATCAAATTTTGATGGGAAATTCGTATAAAGCCAGTCACAATTTCTGTTAGGAGAATATTGACACGGTACTAACATACTTAATGGGTTTACTAGTTACCTGCAATATCTGCAGACACTTTAATTTTCAACTGTGGCATAGGTTTAGTTTTTAAGGAGCATAAAGAATTTGCTGTTCCATTATCCGAGAGGACTGGTACAAAATAAAGTTCCTGTATCAATGGCTGTTTGGATCCTGTAGTAACTCCAACAAACCACCAATCAATCTCCCATGGGAACTGAACATGTGATCTCTTATAAAACAATAAGCTATCTCATGAATCCCAAATCTTTATTTTTGAACCAAAAACTGTAGGTGAGGCCCTGACAGTAATTTTTTATTGAAGGCGGCATGAAAAAACACAAAGGGGTAGTTAGAAGAAGAGGGGAGAATGTACAAAGGGAAGGGGAATATACAAGAGGGGGCTATACAGAGAGCTATACAAGGGAGTCAAGAATCCCAAATCTAATTATTCCACTTCATTATACACTAGATCTTGCCAATCTATTTTTATTGCATGAAACTTGTACTATTAAAGCAGCTGTTCTAATACAGTTTCTAGCAATGAGACGACTGTACAATATGTCCACTTCTGCCATCATATGCTCAAAGTGGATAGGTACCAGGGACAGGTATTTTTTTGTGTTAAATTATTAGACCACAGGCCACAGTTGAATAGTACATCCCATCTGCATGACATTCTTCTCTGTCCATCTGAAACCATATACCATCACTGATTAATCGAGTAGAAATATCAAGGAAGAGTTATGTGCTCCTATCCTTTTGACCTAATAATGGCTCCTTTTCCCTGTGTTACAGAAAGACAAAGAGGCATATATTGGTGTGTGTTTTCAATTAGATATTTGAATACCTTTGTTACAGTGGGGAGGTCGTCGACACAAATTGTTAGTTACTAGCTTTTCCTTGTACTTGCTATATTCACTATTCAGGGCAAATATCCTCTGCTACTAAGCATCATTGTTTTAAGTGATGTTGCAAATTGTATGTAGTTTGTACAGCCAATTAATTGGCTGCAAATTGGTGGACAGCACCTTTGTTCAAAACATTCCTTAAGTTTGTAACATCAACAAGGATGTTGCATGCTTCTATCCTGGCACAAATGGCCTTGTGATATTTTTTTAGGTACAACTAGTTATGGTTAGTATGCACTCTAGGCCTCCTGACCACTAGCTTTGCCTGCGCTTACCCCTCTTCTTGTGACCTTTTTGCTTCTTTGTAGAGCTGTGTGTGTAGGCTTGTTGCTTTGCTTGTCTGGTTTTGTTAGCCTAGGTTGCTTTGTATATTGTGGTTTAATTGGCCTGGTAATTTTTGCATCTTCTCAGTGTGCTTCTTCCAATACAAAACAACACACATATTGATGTGAGTTTGAGAAAAAAGTTGTCGTAAGTACCAAATGCACCCTTAGAGCATGGTTTCAAGTTTCAACATAGAAAAAAGGCAAGAATAAATGATATCTATTAAGATTGTGGGATGAAATGAAATGACAAAGGTCTAGTCTCCCAGCAAATCTGAGTGATTGTAATTCCTCCCTACAAATTTAATACACACTAGATTAGTGTGATGAGTTGGTGAAATTTCTCGTGGCTCCCTCCTACATAGGCTTGTCAACTCATTGCCTACTGCTAACACAAATCACCACCCACTCAATACTGGGTATTGCTGGCTTCCCCCTCTTTATAAATAGCACATCTACGCTCACTCTTTGTTCCACAGAAACACGAGCAGCCACAAGTAGTGCTCACTACTAGTCCCCTGACCTTTCTTGGAAAATTTCTCCCTGCTGGGGAAACAGTAAAAAGGGAGGAGAAAAGGAAAAATAGAGAGATAATGAGTTCATCGTGGACAGCAAAACAGAACAAGATCTTTGAGACGGCACTAGCGACGTATGACGAGGACACACCAGACCGCTGGCAGAAGGTGGCACGAGCAGTCGGTGATGGGAAGTCAGTCGATGAAGTGAAGAGGCACTATGAAGAGCTGCTGAAGGACCTGCATCACATTGAGTATGCAGGAGGCCGTCGCGGATCCCTCTACAACATCTCCGGCGCTAGCAGTAGCAACAGCAACTCCTGGGGCAGTGCCAATGAGGACCACAGGTAATTAAGAAGCCCGTACTCTCATACACACATAATCTCATTGTGCATCCTCTTTATGTGCTCACCTGTTGTTATGCACTACTAGTCATGGGTTTATGTTCAAGAGCAGTGTTTCTGCATGCTGTCACTTGATTTTGTAGCTTTTGGTCATTTTATGATTCCTAACGTCCCACACCTAGATTATCTGTTTCCCTCTAGTTTGCAGCATGCCTTTTATAGTTTGTTCCTCCTATTCTGTTCTTTTGGCTTGTGTTTAAGTGTCTGGGTGTGCCTTGATTATCTGTATCTTGGGCTATCTGAAATGTAAGTCAAATCCATTGTCCTTGGATTTTGCTGGAATTGACTTATGCCTTGCATAACTTATGTGATTAGTTTGACAATTAGATTCTTCACGAAGTGTGGAATTTGACTAGCTCTGCAGATTGCATTTTTCTGAACTTAGCTATATAACTGCTGGTCTGCTGCCCTGTTCCATTTCCACCTTGCGATAAATTAAGCATGTGATCCTTGTTTGTTGTTTATAAGGAGTACTCCAAGTTCCAACTAGTAAATAGTAATACACTTTTGTGCTCTTTCTTCATGTTTTGTGCACTCTGTTGACTGAGACTCCATTTGGCAAGACAAGTCAACTCCCTTTTGTCTGTCAACAATGTGCAAATTCAACTAAATGGAAGATACAGCAGAATAAACAGAAGTATGCTGAAATTTCAAACTCCAGGCAACCTCACCTGTCCATGATGATGATCTGCCGGCAAAATACTAGTGGATAACTATGGCCACAATGACACTATCTGATCCAGTTTAGTGTCGAATTAAATTGTGAGTACAGTGGGAAAGATATGGATAAACACCCGTAATCATAGTTAGTTACTAATCTCTAAACTGGGCGGTGAAGCAGGTCAATCTGTTTACGGGAATGAAAATTCTTTAGCATTAGTATGTTTGTGCTGCTGCTGCTGCTGCTACTCAGTGTGCTTTGAAAATTCAGCAATCAAATTATTATGCTTGTGAGAGAAATAGGCAGGATAAGGACACCAGTGATGGTGTTCCTCTTGGAAGGTTGCTCTTTGCATTCCTCTGCAAAGAGGGAATGGCCTCATTCCTACCACTCCCTGCACAGTGGTATCAACCATGGGCACATTTTCCTAAAGTTTGCAAGGGAAATCATTACAAACCCCACTACCTTTAAGCTGTTTGCCTTTATGATGAATAAATCACTTTCAGAACAGTGTACATTTTGTTCCCCCTCCTTTAATTTATTCGAACGGATAATGGTTTGATGTTGTGGTTTCTTTGTTCCAGGAGAAGGTACCTCAATCCTCAGTGAACGCGATCTTGGAGGAGCTGATCCGAAGCCTATTGCCGCGGCACTGCTCTTGCCAGCAAAACCGAAACAAATAACCGAGTCTCCCTGAGATGTTACGTTTACTATATATTTTTCGGGCTTATGCGCTCTCGCGTTGTTGTGTGTGTCGTCATAGGTAGTAGATTTCCTACCAAAAGAAGAAGGGTACTAGAATTGTGTAGTTACTAGTGGTTTGATGGAAAACTTCCAGTCGAGGTCCAGAGCGTGCCCTCCCGGTTTAAAATAAAAAGGGACCCACACTGTTAGAATTCTTGAAAAAAGTCAGACATATACTTGAAGTATTGCAGCATGTATCTGCCAAGTTTGGTGCAAAAAGGATTTACATATCTGATGTTAGCATGTCACCTGATGAAAATTCAGTTTCTGTCTATGTGCTTTAAGCGGATTTTCGACGTTTTCTCCTTCCTTTGCTGAGTGCTATCATGATAAAGTAGTAGGGCAGAACAGGAGGTTACCAAACTCAGGCCACCAAATTCTGGTCCAGATACCCAACAGTCATACGATAATGAACATTGGCCATCTTGGACAGGTGACCAAAGCTTGGGCTGTGCGGGGTGGTCCACTGGAAGCAGTTGCAGAGATCTGCATGATCCTTCACTATCTAGTCTAGTTCTCCAAAGTGAATGGCCATGTCACTACTGTTGATCAGGTAGAGAGCTTTTGCCAAGTGGCCCCGCGCTTCGACGGACGATGATCGGCGCCGGAGTCGTAGCAGCAAAGGAAGGAAACTATGGTGTGTGATCGGCCATATCCGCAGGTACAGTTTTTGGCGGGTGATCGGGCTCCACATTTTGTAGCTAGATAGAGTGAGACTGTGGCCTGCCCACTGTGGGTGGATAGAGATGTATAGCTGGTCCCGCGGAAATCTGAATAGAAATCAGTAGATCTTGGTGCACCCAGTTTAGACTTTACACCCATAGTGTCCATGATTGATGGGGGACAATAGAGATGTTATCTTAAGGGGTGATCATTCTTATTTTTCGATAAATGATGGATTTTTTTACTTAAAATGGAGTATCAAGAGGATACAAACATAATGAACATGCACCAAGCCTCTGCATAGCACCATTTTTTCCTGATCCCATCAGCTACACATGTCAGGGTAGAAATCCCACCATCCCCATCACACAAACATACCTTCTGCATTAGGCCGTCGTCCATAGATTGCATCTCACTGGCTTAGGCAAATTGAATGAAGCGAGAGCCGCCAAAACCCACAAATAGCCTTTGGCCGCATCCCACGACCTTGCCAACCACCGGATCTGGGAGGCAAAGGATCCTCCCAACCACATGCAGCAGCCACCGCAATTATTGCCATCAGGGGAACCACCACCTCCAACTACCAACATCGCCGAAGCTTGCATGACTCTGGTCATTTGATCATGCGCACATCAGTCATGTCGCGCGCCCGCAGCATCGCACCGCCCCATGGCGGCCACTAGATGTGGAGGTAGAGCGCCAACTCACCGGAGTTGGCTGAGCCACGCCCACCGACGATGACTGGCCGATGTACCAGTAACCGCTGGCGGTGCACCCAGGACGACGACACCCCCGCACCAGCACGCCCGCATCATCAACCACCCGTCGCCAATCTTGCGGATCTTCACGCCAAGCAGCAAGGCCGGCGCATGCTACTTGTGAATTGCGTTGGGATTTTCCCCGAAAAGAAAGGGTGAAGCAATATAGTAGCGGATAATATCCCCCTCAGTAGAGAATCAAGGTTTATCAAACCAATAGAAGATTCACGCAAACAATCGTCGACAATATCTACAGACACAAGAGCAAATACTTGCACCCAACGATGACAAGAGGGTTGTTAATCCTCTTGTACTCATTAATTGCAGTATTAAATGTGATAGTAGTAGAAAGATAAATTGCAAAGTAAAAAAATACAACAATATACTTAGGTTTTAGTAAATATGGTGAATAGACCCAGGGCCATAGTTTTCACTAGAGGCATCTCTCTCAAGAATATAACATGCGGTGGGTACAAATTACTGTCGACAATTGATAAAAAAGCGCATAATTACGGCGTTATTCATGGCATAATCAGTATATAGGCATTATGTTCGTAACAAGTAGACCAACTGCTGCATGCATCTACTATTATTACTCCACTTCGAGAGCGCTTCTATGCTTGCCTCTCTAGGTATTAAATTCATAGCAAACAGAGTAATGCATTAAGTATGATGACATAATGTAGACATAATAAAATCAAGCAATCTGATTGAACCCCTCGTTTTTCCTCTTAGTAGCAACAATACAAATACATGCCTCGCTACCCCTTCTATCACGAGGTGAGGACACCATAAAATTGAACCTACTACTATGCACCACTTTCACTGAAGATCTAATCATCAACTTGGCCAAAGAAAACTCATAGATAGGAAAGCATTACATAGAGATAACAATCATACACAATAAACTTCAGAAAAGACTCACTTACTTTCATTGAATAATCTGATAATAAACCTACAATTCATCGGATCCCGACAAATGCACCGTAAAAGAAGATTACATCAAATAAAATTTCAAGGAGAACATTATATTGAAGATCAGAGAGAGAGAGAGAGAGATCTAGCTACAAGGTTGATGTATAAACCCTTTGTGATCGATTCTCCCTCCGGCAGAGTACCGGCAAAGGCCTCCATATGGGATCACGGAAGAACAGAAGTTTGCGATGGTGAAATAATTTTTTTAGGTCTTGCCCTGGTGGTTTTGGGATTTTAGAAAATTTATAGAAGTGAAATTAGGACAAATGTAGTTATGAGGGCCCACAAGCTCAGGTGGTGTGACCCTCCAGGGGCACGCCGTGTGAGCTTGTGACCCACTCTTACATCTTCTGGCCTCCTTCCGATGCTTTCAGGGTCCCTTTTGATCTAGAAAAAATCACCGTAAAGTTTCATCGCGTCTGGACTTCGTTTGGTACCGTTTTTCTGCGAAAATAAAGTAGGAAAAATAGGAACTGGCACTACGCACTAGGTTACTCGGTTAGTTCCCAAAAATATTATAGAATTATATAAAGCATACAAGATTGATAATATAATAGCTAAAACAATAAAAAATTATAAATACGTTGGAGACTATCAGCACACGAATGCCCATGCCCCCAACTGCCACCATAGCCCCGTTCAAGCACAAGCCGCACCAGGCGCCATCGCCGCTAAAAGATCCATTGCCTGCCAAGGAGGTCGAGCCTCGTTAGCGGAGCGCCCCACTGCCGGCGTCCTTGGTCCCAGCACTAGCTTCGCCGACAGTGGCCTCCGGTGGCAGTGGTCACGGGAGGAAGTTTGATGAAGACGATGGTGGAGAAGATGAGATCCCCCGAGTTAACAGTTACTAGCGATGTGGGGGTCAGGTACCGCTTCGCTTGGGATGATACTGAAAAAAATTGGAAGATATCATGTGAATGTGCCAACAAAATAAGAGTAACAATTATAGGAGTCTTTTTGATTTGTAGGAACTTCATAGAATTTCTTCGTCAAATGGTAAAATTGTAATGGATCAACTAGCCTTAATTCTTTAGAAATGCTAAAAATCTAACTTCAGATTTTTAGGCATGGAAATCGAACATTTTTCATGGCAATTTATGTTGATGCGGGGATGGCAAATTTAGTTAGCAAGCATGGCAATTCTCTGGCAAAAAAATGAACTAGGTCGGATTTGCCATACTCGTCAACTAAACTTATCATTCTCGGCAAACATAATTTGCCATAAAAAGCGTTCTATTTGACATGCCTAAAAATCTGACGTTCGTTGGATATTCGGATCTAATTCTTTTACCTGGCTAGGAAGTTTTCAATATGATGCAAAATCATACACTTATTTAAGTATACCAAAAGTCAATCACATGTTGATCTCAAATAAAGATTATACTAGGTTGACTTTCTTGTATATGAACAAGAGTGCTACTCCCTCCGTTCCTAAATATAAGTTCATATTAAAATCTCTAAAAAGACTTATATTTAGGAACAAAGGGAATAGTTGCTAAAAGCAGTTTCAGAATCAAAATTATTTTAGCGATTGAGGCGGATTTAAATCATAGACATTTCATCCAATAGCAATAACTATCAGATGGCTATATATGATTTTTGTCGTTACCTGAAGCCATCATTATTAATGATTCACGGGTTAACTATTAGGTTAGTCATCCTTGACACTTTTTCTCTTTCTCTTTCCTTTGCATTTATCTTACCTATAAAATGTGAGTATCTTCTTTGGTAACTGATGTTTTGCCTGAAAAATTAAAATAAAATGTTCTTATATATATATATAACTAATAAAAAAGTTTTATGCTATCTTTTATATATGGATATAAAACTAATAAAAAAGTTTTGTGCTATCTTTTCTTTTCCTCTGGGATTTGCAGAAATTGCGAAGTTTACGTTGAAAAACGAAGGGGGACGTTAGCCGGATTGGCAAATCGTCGGCGAACGATACAAACTTGCAAAGACGCCCCCACCAAAAGGCCAAAACCAAAACACAAAGCTCGAGCCCTAGAACCGCGACGAGAGCCAATGGACTCAGGGGGCGGAGGAGGGGGGTCGCACAAGGCCGCGTCGGGCTCCGCGCCGTCGGCGGCGGCGGCGGCGCCGAACCCCACGGCGATGCTCTCGGCCCTGATGGGCAAGCGCGCCAAGCTCCAGGAGGAGGTCCGCTCCATCGAGCGGCAGGTTAGGTCTCCTCCAGCCCCTGCTCCTGTCCCTCTTTCGGGACGCCTCCTCTGTTTGTTAGAATTTGCATCTCCTGTGCTACTTCCTTTGGGAGGCCTTCTGCCGCGTAAGATTTCAAATTCTGTTCCATGAAGCATTTGCTAGTCTACACATGAAAGCAACCTGAATTCACCTTATTTAGGGCACCGGAACAATATACAAGTCTGAAAGACAGACGTCTGAATCTATTGTGTCTGAAACCACAACGTATTGTTCCGTGGAGTGAATAGTTGGCGCAGTTTGGGAGAAGTCCTGTTGTGTCAAACTGAATACCGTGATTGAATTAAATTTTGGATGCAGGGAGTTTGACAACAAATTCGCTGCCTCCATTAATTTTTTGCGAAAGATTATTGCTTACTTGCTTCATTTGATCAACCAATTGCGCGTGTGAAAACTGATTTGTATGATGTCAATCATATGAAACAATCTGATGCTCAAATTAGCCGGATAAAGATTTTTATAATTTTAATCAAGCCTCAGTGTTGCAGTTATTGCCCTGTCTGTAAGAAATAAATCATAGTAATAATACATCCACTTATACTATAGCCATAAGAACATTTTGAGCTATATTCTAGTATATTCTCTTATAAAGCTTTCTTAAGGTAATAGAGTAGCAAAAAAGGTCTGACCTTATATTCATAATGCTAAATCTTGTCATTTCGAACAATTGGTCTAGTAGAATGAACAGCGTGTATAATCGAAAAAGTGACCAATGCATTTGGTTTTATTTCAAGTCTTTCAATACATTCCAGTGTTCATATACAAGTTAGTCAAGTGCTCCAAGTGGAGTAATAACCAGCGGTAGCATCCCGGTAATTTAATTACTAAATTGTTGTTCTGGCATCCTCTAAAGTGGGTGCTATGATTTCTGCGCTGGCACCAGTTGGTAACTTGCTGTAAACATTCCATGTGGTCGCCTCTGCTGTAAATAATGTGTTCATGTTAACATTGGATGGTTGGATGAAATCGACATCAGCAGCCACATCCGCTCGACAGGTCGAGCAGAATCATTTTCCTGCTTAGACGGCACATTTCCTAGTAACGCCCATGACTTTTGCCAAAAGAGCTTGCCCTCTATATCTGTTGTCTCACTAGACAGCGAAACTCACAGATCGAGTCAAGTAGAAAGATGCAGGACATTTGCACAAAAATCCTTGAGGTACCAAGTATTGCAGGCCTAACTCTTCACACGAAGCCCCTTGTTCCAGCCCAAATGTAATCCCATCTCTCATGCATCAGCGTGGGTTGCCGGAGCGTGCCGCCAACCTCGCCGAATCAACCTCTCTGAGCCTCACAACCACCAGATCTGGCCTTCCTGAGCCTTGCCGTCAGCTATTCCACCAGCCCCATGACGTGACACTGCCATATCCTGCCATGACGAGGTCCACCGCCGGCTTCTCGTGCGCCGCTGTCACTTGTTCTTCCAAACGACCGTGAACGCCCCTATGCACACAACCCCTTCGGCCGAATATGTCCGCTGCCCGAGTGTGACCCTTCAGTGGTTGCATCTTCCTTGATACCCGTCCTAGATTCGTATCTAGGTGAAGTTTCTTGTTCTGATCTGGGGTGCGAGACTGAAGGTTCAGCAGGGTGGAAAATTGATTTTCAGTTCATGGGAGATCATGAATTGTTGTATTTTTTGTTCATTTATTTTTATAGTGTTTATTCATGATCTGGATGTTTGGATCGGGTTTTAAAATTTGAATGGTGGTTCGACTTTGCTGTTCATGATATTTGTACAGAACCTTATTCATAATCGTAAATGCTGTTATTTTTCAGTTTGTACGTTATTTAACTTTGTATGGTGGAATTTTTGTATCCAACAAATTGCATGCGTTCATCTGTTCGTGTGTGTGCTGGGAAAACTCAGGCCTAGAAATATGTATGAATTCGTGGGAGAAAATCCATTCTGCAATTACTGTATGCGTTCATGGCAGGAACCTCATCTTCAGTACTTTCTGTGAGTACTGAACTACCAAGTGCAGTTTGAACATGTATAGGTGATGGCTGACGGTGGGTGGATCACATGCAGCATTATGAGATGATAGCAGGGGCTTTGCACAAAGTTATCAAACCCTTCCGGTCTTGCTTAATCTGTACCTTGCCTTATAAATCGAACGGTTGATATGGCTGGATCGCACGATCTCACGCCAAGTGCAGATCCTATACTAGTCTTCCTCTATTTTATGGTGTCCTCTTTTTCTTTATTATTAGTACATTAGTAACATCTTCTGGGTGCCAATCTATCTTATAACTGACAAGGAAAAACATCAGTTATCCATTGGCCATGTGCGTATAAGTCAAATTTTCTTACTGTCCACGCATGTCTTAGAAACCATTTTTTGGCAATCTATAGCTTGTATTAATATCTACTATTATCCAACCAGGTTTATGATATGGAGACCACCTACCTACAAGAATCTAATCAATTCGGAAGCGTGCTGAAGGGTTTTGAATCATTCTTGTCATCGTCAAAAAACACTGCTAAGTAAGAGACCTTTCTATTATTTATATTTGAATAAAATCTATGAACTGTTAGGGGTTCTTCTCTGTATGGAGAACGTCATTTGTCCATCCTTTTCTATTATCATGTTCTTTGATTACCATTTATATTTATCAGAACTCAGGTCTCAGATTTTGCTTAGAGTCTCTGTTTTATTATTACCATGAGCTATATTGATTGGGTTACGGTATCTGACCTGGCTTTGTATACCTACTATGCCACTAACCATACATAATAATTAGCTAACAATTGGGTCAATGATCAATAGTGCTAGATATACATCAGGGATTAACCCTGAAAAAATAAGTATGCCAGTGTTCTATGATATTATAGACTTAAGTCAGTTTCTTTCTTTGTTGCATGAGTACTTTATATTGAACATAATCTTTTTCGGGTTGATGGCAACCGGTTGACTATGTGGAACTAGTCGTATGTCACTATTCTGCAGAAGCAATATGTATTTAGCATGCATTTATGTTTTATTTTTTCAAGCAATAGAGACACTAGATCTCACATAGATGGAATACTCATGATGGCATGTGCTTCGTTTCAGCCTCAAGCGGTCAAGGAAGTTTCAGGTTGATGAGAGACTATTCTCTCTGTCATCGGTTACTTCTCCAGCGGTATGAGCAATAGTGCCAGTACCACTGGAAAGCACTAGCCTTCCTACTTATTACTTCCTTTCCCTATTCAAAATTAATGAATTCGCTGATGTTGAACGTTATTCTTGTATATAATTTCCAGGTTGAAGAACAACTGGCTGCGCGAGATGGTAAGCTTTACTTATTTCTGTTTTCAGTTGAAACCTGCAGCAGCTAATAATAAACTGAATTGAATACTCGTGCCACCCTGGCAGAGGCAAGAGAATATGCAGGTCGTTCAAAGGGCGCAAGCACTCCAGCTAATGGCCAGTAAGTTTCAGATAGCTTTGCGGAAAAACTTTGGCTCGTGCAGTGATTAACAAAATGTTTAGCAGGTTTGCCTGTTTTTCTGATATCTCGTACTACATTCTTTTGGCAGAGGGAAACCAAAGAAGGGAGGGCGTCCTGGAGGGAGAGACGGCAAGAGAATACGCCCATCGAACGATCCAGACTTGGACGATGAAGATGACTACTAACCCTCGCATGTTTCAGGCATCTTTTAACTTTGTGTCCGCGTCTAGTTCCGTCTTTGTGTCAACCTTTAGGCTTTAGCCTTGTTCTCTTGCAAATCCAAACCAGCGTTGAGGAATCTCCTGTATTATGTCCCAGCTCATCTGCTTGCTTGAGCGTGCTTCTTTTCCATGCCTTTTCCTGTTTTGCCCTTTGTAACATATAAGGTAGCAGCAAGTTAATTAGATGGTGAAAAGTTGTGTGGACATTATTCTATTTCTTATAACGAAATATGTATATGGCAACCGTGTGCCAGATTGCGAAACTGCCACACGCCTCCCGATCTCCTTCCTTTCCTGCATGTCCTCCCCGACCTCCCTCTCGATTTCTTTCCTTTTCTGCACGCCTCCCGATCTCCATCCTTTTCCGCGGGCACACCTGCTCGTGACTTCCTAATTTTCATAATCGTCAATTATGGCCCCATGCGACTTTCCAATTTTCGGGCAAAAATAATGGTTGGACTAGGATTTGATCTCTGGTCTGCAAGTAATCAACAAAGGCAACTAACCACCTCACCTATGACACTGATTGTTGAACAAGCTAAGAGAAATATTGTTTTTGACATGTTTTTGCCTTTAATATGTTAGCACTGAAAAACTTTTTGTTTCAAGCATCATGGTAACTTTGATTATTGAGAATGAATTTGTTGAACCTGCTCACTGGTAATTTCTCTAAATAGCACGATAACATTCACGTCATAGACCTGATAATTTAGATATAACCATCGTGGTAACTTTAACCATTGGGAAGATAAATGTGAAAAGATACCCGATAATTTATGTGTAAATAGATGGTACTCCCTCCGTTCACTTTTGTAAGTCATTTCAGACAGCTCAAAATGGGCTGTTTTGTACATTGTCTGAAATATCTTGAAGGTCTTATAAAAGTGAACAGAGGGAGTAATATACATAGCGCACATCTAATAACTGAGGTAGAAACACCATGATAACTTTGACCATAGGGATTTTTTTTTGAAAAGATACTCCGATATCTTCTGTGTAAATAGCACGGTAGTATACCTCCCTCCCCTAGCATTTTTATATGTAAATAGCATGAAAATATGTGCACTGCGATAACTAAACACCATGATAAGTTTCTGACCCGTGGGAAAGAATTTGCTAAAACATACCCCTGATAAATTTTGTGCAAATAGTATGATATTTTAAGCACTACGGGCTTGATAAGTTACTTAGAATCACCATGATAACTTTTTGTCCCAGGAAAAAGTTGTTCAAAACATCCCCAATAATTTTCGTGTAAATAACATGATAATATAAGCATCGCATAACCGATAACTTGCAATATAAATATGATGGAAACTTTTTTTACCAAAGGAAAATAAGTTATTAAAAACATACACTCGCCTCGCGCGTGGGCTTCTTGGATGAACACAACACATGGCGTGCCACGGGAAAGTGACATAATGTTTAGTGTCATGAGGGCCACACGTGCTATAGGCGTGATAAGTTCCGCAAAAACATCGTGGTAATTTTTGACCTATGAAAAAAGCTACCAAAACACACCCAGGTTTTTAGGTGCAAGTAACATGATAATATATGAACTGTAAACCCGGTAACTCATGTACAATCCTCCATGGTAACTTTGACCAGGGGGAGGTTGATGTTGATATACCCTGATAACTTATGTGTAAGTACCACGGTATTTTACACATCGAAGACCTTCTAACTTGTGTACAAAATACAACGGTGACTTTGAAGGGGTGTAGTTGTTGAAGCATAGTACCTGGTACATTCTATATAAATAGTATGGTAAGTTACACAACACAGGCCTGATAAATTGCATACGAATATCATGGTAACTTTGTCCTGAGGAGAAATCATGTGGTAGACGTGAAGAAGTGACAGTTTTCTCGGAGGTGGGCGCGCGAGATATGCGGGAGAAGCAGGTTTCTCGGATGAGCCTCCGAGGTCGTTTGGAAGAAGGCGAGGTCAAAAGACGGGGAATCGTGTGGTACTTTAAAATAAAAGAAGTAGAGGTGTGGCAGTTTTGTTTATATGGCACACGTGTGCCAAATATCACAGTCCTTCTTATAAACTAACTTGTTGTAAACTCTCGTTGGCCGAGCGAATTAACTTTGCCCTGGTTTTCGTTGGCGACATCCCTGGTCTGGATTTATTTTTTAAGATGTGATCTGGATCATTCTTTTTAAGACGTGGTTCTGGATGAAGTTGGTAATGGTAAAAAGGATGGAATCGATATGCGTGTGTAAACATTGGAATAACATGTTCTCTTTGATTGGTTAAGTTTCTTGTATATTCCTCAAATACATACATATTATCAATTGCAGTGATAGCATGCTTGCGTTGACGATTGTATTTGAACTACAGTCTTGCTAAATCAGATTTGGTTGCAAGCTATGTTAGCTTGAAAAAATGTCTTATATTATGAAACGGAGGAGTTATATGTTATGTCACTTGACCGAAACTTGATTAAGTATTAGTCAGTTAAGAATTAGCCACACCCTATCTTGGTTAAGTATTAGTCAGTTAAGAATTAGCCACACCCTATGTTGGGATCTGAATTGTGTTCGAAATGGCTTTTCAGAAAAGTTGTTTCATGTGTTTTTCAATTAATTCATGATTTGGACATGTTGCTGGGTGACCCTGAAACTAGATGTCCAAAAACCATTGTAGCAATGCTTGGCATGCTGTTAGGCATCAACGGAGTGTTATCCAACAGACCACTATTAGGGCAGTCCAGCTAGCTCATGGGATTAAAGGCTTGCAGAAAATAGAGTGCAGGCTCATCCCAATTTTATTTTATTTTACCTGTAAACAAAGACGAGCTAAAAACACAATCAGGTAATCTGAGCAAATGAAAGACACATGGTACATAAGCAGAACATGAATATCTTGACAGTTTATCTTCAGGATTAACCCTGCGCCTGCAGCCAAGCTTGCACACAGGTCAGCAGCCAAACTCCATAGACACCTTGGATTAATAATAAAGCAAACTCATGTACTTTCTTGATGACAAACATTTGCATCTTGCGCCTCGGTCTGCTCAAGGGTCTCTTCACTTGTACTACCAGTAGTCCCGAGATGTTTGGAGATCCGGGTTGCAAGGAAGCAGGGCATAAAACCGTAGTGGTGGTCTGGTAGCTTGGCGACTCCTCGCAGGGTCTGCATCCTCATGTCGACGGCGAGCACCGTCGACATATCGGTGCCCTCCCTTGACAAAATGTAGACGACATCATCATCGTCGTCGGTGACGCTCACGGTGGGGTAAGACATGCGAAGACGTCGCAGGGAGGACACGGTTCCCCCCTCCTTGTCCGTGCGCAGCTCTTTATAACGCATGGCGAGGTCGTGAGGGATGTCGATTTCCGCCGAGCGGGCGGAGCATCGAGGCCGCCAGGCCTCCCATGAGGTCACCGGCACCGGCATGCTCCATGTGGTGGCCTTCCAGGGGCTAGGGATCAGGAAGTACATCGGGCATTCTTGCGGAAAATATTCTGTAGAGCATAGGCTTTGGGACACCCATTTATCTAGCCACTCATTTTTGCATCGTGATTCGTGCGAGTACATTTGTCTTTTTTTTTCTCCCATATAGAATAACATATGAACTTCAAACTTGGCAGCTCAACAAAACATTCTTACTAGAATGTGGGAAAAAACTTTCAGAATTTTTCATGCAATATAAATACTAAAAAGTACATTTTTTAATACAAAAAATCTAATTTCGTATATTTATGTTTGACAAAAAAAATTGCAAGTTTTTTCTCACATTCTAGTTAGAACGTTTTGGTGTCTTGCAAAGTTTAAAGTTCATATGTTGTTTTATTTTGAAGAAACAAAAAAGAGAAAATCTGATGTACAAAGTTAGTAAGCAATGTTGGAAGGTAAGGATAAGGGGTGTCCAGAAACCTGGACTCTAAAAATCCGTCTCCTGCAGATGAGGGAAAGCCGAAGAAGTGGCTGCTGGCAGGCAAGGTTCTCCACCGACACCTCTTCCACATCCAAACCATTACCAGCGCGCTTCGGCCTGCGTGGGGGAACCCTAGGGGTCTGCAGTTCAAATCCATGGGAGAAAACACGTTTGTGGCAGAGTTCGAGAACCAGCGGGATCGAGATAGGATCTGGGTGGGCTCGCCATGGCATGTGAGCAAACATGCAGTCATATTGGCTGACTTTGAGGATCATACGAGGCCGGATGAGGTGACTTTTGACCGGCTCCATGTGTGGGTTCAGGTCCCAAACCTGTCGTACAACCCGAGAGATGATGCTTGGGGCAGTTTGATAGCAAAACAGATTGACAAGAATGCTTCAGGAGTTCAGTTCGATCATGTTGGGGGCTATTTGAGAGCTAGAGTTTCCATTGATGTCAACAAGCCTCTTCGGAGGTGGATTTTGATCAATTCGGCCGAGAGGAAGAAAGAAGAACCGTATGATATCCAGTACGAACAAGTACCGCACTTCCGTTTCTCTTGTGGTCGCCTAGGGCACAATGATCTATTTTGCCCTGGTCCTAGGGATAAGAATGGAGATCTTCCATTCGGACCTAAGTTGAGGCCACCGGAAGAAAGGAGGAAACCTACCTCGGGTGAGAACACGAGCAAAGACCAGCAAGCAGGTCCGAGTACAAAAGAATCGAAGAACTCAAGCAATGTCGGAGATGCTGCCGAGGTGAACTCTCCTGTGAAAAAACGTCCTTATATATGCAAAGAGGAAGGAGGCCCCAAAGTAGGTCTATCGTCGAGTTGAGCACCCTCTCCTCATCACCAACGGAGAACACACGGATCATGATGGGCCGGCTAGAGACATGGGAAGGGGAAGCGATGAGGATTTATGGGAACATAAGGATTTGGAAAGGGGACCAAAAATGAAGCGACCAACACCGGAAAATTCGGCAGCAGTTGCGGAGCAGCGTTACCCGTCCCAATGAGCATTATAAGTTGGAACTGCCGAGGGCTTGGGAACCCCGAGGCAGTTCGAGAGCTTCGCAG